TTCAATGTTAAGTTTTATTCGGTTTACATATTCATCGGAGTTGTCTCAGTGGAGTCTAGTCACTATTACAATCATATTAATAATGAAACCTGTGAATTTCTTTAAAAGAATTCATGAAAAACTTAAATATTCAGTTTCGATCATATTTGAATACTTAGTTGATTCCATCGGTTCAGTTCGATTAGGAGAGTGCCAGTAATTGAAATTGTAATTATGATGCATAATCGGGCCCGAATGATTCAAGAATGATGACACCTAGATGTTAGTTTCATGGTTGTCAGTTTCATGGCTACTAGAAAGAAGCATTTTATCGCTGTAAAACTGTGTATCGGAGGTCTAATCTTCAATTTTCTCATCTTTTTATCGCTTTGAAAGAAATAATCAGTAAACATGTTGAATATAACATACTATTTTCTGTTTCAAAAGCTGGACAATTCATGTTAGTTTTTTGTAATTTTTGAGAATTAACAGTAGTACATAAAGTGGAATACTGATCATTTCAACTCGACTGATTATTGAAGACGTGACGTGTGTTTAGTTTTATTCGGTTTACATATTCATCGGAGTTATCTCAGTGGAGTCTAGTCACTATTACAATCATATTAATAATGAAACCTGTGAATTTCTTCAGAAGCATTCATGAAAAACTTAAATATTCAGTCTCGATCATATTTGATTACTTAGTTGATTCCATCGGTTCAGTTCGATTAGGAGAGTGGCAGTAATTGAAATTGTGATTATGATGCATAATCGGGCCCAAATGATTCAAGAATGATGACACCTAGATGTTAGTTTCATGGTTGTCAGTTTTATGGCTACTAGAAAGAAGCATTTTATCGCTGTAAAACTGTGTATCGGAAGTCTAATCTTCATTTTTTTCATCTTTTTATCGGTTTGAAAGAAATAATCAGTTAACATGTTGAATATAACAGACTATTTTCTGTTTCAAAAGCTGGACAATTCATGTTAGTTTTTTGTGTATGTCTACTTCTTTATAACGAATTCACTCATCGGTATCAATATCATTATTAGAAAGGGTATTCAGTTTCATTTATGATCTCGTTCAAAACTTCTGGTGGTACACCTTTCCCGAGTAGAGAGGACTAGATCCTTCGGATAGAGAAAATATTAAGAGCAGATAGTTGTTGGTTCACAGATAGATCAGAAACACCTTCCGGTTCTGGCGCAAGAGTTTTCAGTCGCAGACCCAGTACAGAGATATCAACCTGCCTAGGAACCTATGCGACTGCAGTTCAAGCGGAAATGTACGCTTCTGAATTGTGTGTGGAGAGATTGGAAGAATCCAACCTCATACATGAGTCAATAGAAATATTTTCGGACAGTCAAGCGGCATTGGAATCTGTTGGCTCCTACCGACGTCTATATTGGTAGCAAATTACCAAAAACGACTCTCAATGATAAAAAGACTTAACAGATTTTCTTTGGTCTAGATTCCTGACCATACTGGTCTGGAAGGCAATGAGACTGCAAAGGAGGGTGCTGCAAGCAGCTTCATCAGACCAGACCTTGTCATTGGCATCGCTTTAGGCTTTGCCAAACAAACATTGAACTTCTGCATGACAAAAAGATCTATGGACTTCTGGCAGAATCTTCCAGGATTGGCTCACTCCAAGGCGTTTGTTCACCCATCGAAGCTTGATATCAAACAGTTGTTCGACTGCAGTAGGGATGTCTAACAGGCCTTCTTACAAGTCACTGTCATTTGAATCATATGCAGAGACTCAGACTGTCGGAAGACAGTGTGTGTCGCCTTTGTTAGGAAACTGATGAAACAGCAGTGGACACACTTTGTGCCTGCCCCGCTGGGGACCGAATCGGGTTTTTAGAGTACGGCAGATCCGTATTCTTACCATCTGACCTAAAAGACTACTCACCATACAAACTAATTGGCTTCGTTAAGAAGCTGGGTTTATTTGGTTGAGTGTGAATGGATGTGAGCCACAATAAACCCTTGCGAGTTGCGGTGGAGGGTCGAATAGACCCACTCACTTTGGACTTAACCTAACCCAATCTGACCACCTAACATATTGATGATTAAAAAAAATGCGAACTGATTTCTGGAAGCGTATAGAAATATTTTGAAAGGGCCCCATACATTTTTATCAAAAAAAAACACAGATACTTGAGTATTGTGATTATGAATTCATTAGTTTATCGGGCACCTGCCACGCCCACCTATAAAAATTAGTTTGAAGGGTAAGAATGTAAATCAATCTGACATTAGCTTTCCTTATGCAAATTTATCGGTACCACTAAGGTCATTACTCATATTTCCAATCAGGTATAGATTACCAGTATCTCAACGCATTAGTACTAATATATGTAATTCGTTACATGATAATATCTTGTTGTGCACTTCAAAAGTCGGTTATTATAGAGTAAGGCTAACTTATGCACTCCAGTTACACGTATTCAATATTCATTGGAATAATAAAGATTGAAACAAAAATATTGGAATTTGGGGGTGATCTCAAGATTGATAAAAATAATACTGCATAATAATCAGTAATCCATTTTATTGATCTTGCTAAATGAGAGAAGACTCTTGTAATTCATCAGGAAGTTACTTACAAAACAGAGTATCAAGATAGTGTTAGTGTTTTGAGAAAAAAATCGTATCTGAGATACCACAAGGAACAGCATTGGGCCCGATTCTGCTCAATTCATATCTAAACGATATTTCCGAGCAGGAAATAGAATGATACATTGTGGGATTTGAGGCGACACTGTTATTTTTTTGAGGATTCTAATTCAATTTTGCTGAAAAAAATGGAAGAGGCTGGTTATCGATAATATAATTTATAGTCAACTTAGAACTATAAAATACTTTTTCTTGTTCAAACATATGAAAAAATACATTTCTGAGATATAATCGATACAAAATAAAATAGCAAAATATTGAATTTGGGAATATTTACAGATTGTTGTTTGAGGAGAAATGAAGAGACTGATTATTTGATGAAAAACAAAATGAGAATATGACACCAAAAAATTCAAAAACCAAGTCATACATCTGAAGTAGGTACTAGATGTGAGTAAGTTATTTACCATTTGTGTATGGAAGCAAAACAAATTGTTTTATTTTTCCCTTTTGTACAACATACAGAGTCGATACTATCATCATACCTAGAGTAGAGAAAACGACTGGACAAAAATGCTTCTCTGACTGTTTGAAAAATAAGGTAACTGTTCAAATTTAGTTTAGTTAGTGAAGTTAGTTTATTGGTGACAGGCGTAAAAGTTAAAATTGTTTAACGTGCTCGGCGATTTTCTGTTGCATAAAATTTTGTGTGAAAAATGGAAATTAGTGCTTAAAAACACTTGAAATACTGATAGTGGCATACAGTGATTGTACTCTAAGTCAGAAAAAAGTTTACAAGTGGTACAAGCTTTCCGCAAAAGGTCGAGAAGATGTGAATGACGATACTCGCCCTGGACGCCCCAGCACATCAACAACCGATAAAAATGTTAAGAAAGTGAGGCAAATTGTTAAAGAGAATCTTCGAATCACTTTCAGAGAAGTTGCGGCATATTGGTTGGCTCATGCTGAACAATGTTTTTGAAAATTATGGGCATGAAGCGTGTGGCAGCAAAGTTCGTTTTAAAATTCCATCCACGACGATCCAGATTCGCATGAAAATGTTAAAACTGATGACAAATCATAGGTATATAGTTATGACATCGAAACAAAGTTCAATCTACCCAATGGAAGAGCACAAGAGAGCCAAGACCAAAAAAGCACGCCAAGTTCGATCAAATGGCGAAGTTTTGCTCACTGATATCATCGATTATCGTGTTGTAGTACATCAGGAGTTCTTGTTTCATGGTCGTACAGTCAATAAGTTGTATTATCTTGAAGTTATGCGCCGCTTGCGGAAATTAATACGGAGGAAACATCTGGTATTGTTGAAAAACAATTCATGGCTTTTGCAACACGATAATGCACCTGCCAAAACAACACCGCAATCATGCTTCAGCCACCGTTTTCACCGGATTTGGTCATCTATAACTTTTTTCTGTTCACAAGATTGAAGAGATCCCTTTAAGTAAAATTTAAAAAAAAATGCTGGCACATGTTATTATATCGAAGGGGGACTACTTTGAAGAGGAGAATTGATGGATAAATACGTATTTTTTGAGAAAAAATGGAAGATCACTTCATTTTTTGACCAGAGAGCATATGAAAAACATTCCTCAAACTCATTTTGGAAAACTGATTACTCACTCATTCTCAAGAATATGTTGATTGAATACATATTAAAATTTAAAATCAAGTGTTTTCTTTACATTTTATTATACGATTAATAAATACATTTTTTAATAACAATATAGTGTTAGACGTGTTAAATGAACTATTTATAATCTCAAATATCCTTACAAATATTTATACTTTTATATTCATATTCTGTATTCGGGCAAGTACCCATACGCCCAAAAATATTATGGTAGGTTGCTAATAACGTACTTTTTAGTGCTATTAGGTATGCAAACGACTAAAAATTTCAATATGTTACTATGAGAGGTATGAAAGTGCTATACTCTCAAAATACTTTAAGGCAATAAAGGCAAATGTCACTTAATTTTGGAATTTTTTATAATTATTTATGTTTTTTTCTCTGTTTCCTCTTCATTTTTATTTTCGTATGTACCTCTTTTTTTATTCACCATGCGACCTTTAGTTGCTGAAATAGAATACAGTGAGATTCAAAAAGTTTTATTTTAAAACGGTGTACAGGAAAAGTTGTTTGAATTTGAAAACGATATTCAGATTTGAAATCATTACCACTTACGTAACATAACAAAAAAATTATAATTTTTCTTGGTTCTAGCTCATGAAGAGTACTAGTACTACTTACAGATTTGTATTACTTAATTGTTTAACATTAATTGATTCAGTCAATTATTTTTTGTCATTGAAGCATAGTGAAAGTTATTATGGACATACATACAGAGTGAAATATTAATTTTGCACCAAATACAGCAGTTACTTGACGTATACATGATCTAGCAACTTTCCAGGGGCCTTTTCTTGCATCTATTATCACTGTGACACCTTTAGATCGACTAGTTTTACTGAAACAAAAAAAATTATTGCTCTTAGGAACATAACGTACTCATTGAAGCAGCACGAATGCTAATGAAATGAAAATATTCAAATTCATGAAAAAAAAATTGGTCCATTGAGAAAAAAAATAAATTTGGTTCCTTAAAGGATGAACTGTTCGTTCGTCATTGGTTGATTCATGTATAAAATTCCAATCAGAATTCTGCATCAAATGTACTGAAGGAAAATACCTCAAAGAGCTTGTGAACATTCCAAAAACTTTTGGAATTTTGAGGCCCAGAAAAAAGTTTGGACGAATATATATAAAACATAAAACCTAGCTAGGGCACTTAGAAACTGATAATGCTGATATTCATTTGGATTCAGAAATGGCAACTAGGCTGGCAACCTGTAGAAAATCAGGGATTGGTCAATTGATCGATAGCTTGTTAGAAGGCTTTAGACTCATTGAGCTATTCTGAAAGGGATTAAGGGAGCCAGGACATAGCAATGCTTGAATTGATGAGTCCAAATCCCTAGGATCAAGAGATGCAAGTTCACTGAAGTAGATTAAACAAACCTCGAAAAACTGTTACAAAATCTAGAAGCCAACAACTTTTTTGATCATAAAAAACCTGAAGAGAAACGACCAGTGAGTTGAGAAAAATCTAGGGTTTTGCAGTAAACGAAAAATGAACTAGGTACAAAAACCTATGCGTTTAAGGGAACCTTCCAAACCGGTAGGAGTCAACGACGAAAGACTCTAAGGTTAGACTAGAAAGAACTTCATTGAGGTTCATCATGAAGAGTGGTTATTTCAAATATTTAGGCAAATATCGTGAAGTTATCAGATGGATACTGAGTTCTTGACAGAACAGGCAGACTCGAAAAATGAAGCTGGAAAAATATCAACTTCACAACAGACAAAGAATGATTCAGGGAAAGATTGTTTCAAAAGAGGTTTCTGAATGAATGCAGTTGGTCCACATTGATGAAAGACTGCCTCAAATGAACCAAAAACTAGCAACATAGGGTTCTAGATTCCAAAGGTGGTTAAAAAAGAAAAAGATTGAGAAGATGTATATTTGTAAAGAAGGCCGATCGAGAAACCAGGAAAACTGAATGTCGACAAGCCCCAGGCCTCGCGTCAGTTCATTTGCGAGCACAAGAAGAAAGGACAGGCTTGGTGAAATTATGATGAAAATAGAATTGAAACTTTCTATGTTTTCTACCACTTTTATTTGTGACCAACGTTACTGCAGTTTCACCATATAAGGACATCTTCAAAGTTATACAATGAACACACATTATTATATAAGTTTGAAAATGTCCTTATAGGACGAAACTGCAGTAACGTTAGTTACAAATGAAAGTGGTAAATACATAGAAAGTTTCAATTATCTTTTCTTCATGATGATTTTCTACCATGTAGTAACGGCTACATCCATCAATTTATTGATCCACTAATTTTTACTAACGTGATCACCTACATACAACGTTTGGCATTATAGTTTCTTCTATTGGGATGGCACTGGATTGATTTAATAAGACTTTCTTAGGGGAAAAATACTATTTCAGAAACAACGATTTGAATAGAGCAACGATTTCTCCTTCACCGATGGCTCTGTACAGACAGTAATCTATCTCAAAAAGGTTTCCAATTATTATGAGAGTTAAATATTCGAAACAATTAGTGACCATTGTCGTTGTCATACAACCCCCAGAAGGTTAAAGAAACTTTCAGTTTTATTTCTCATTTTATTTAACATGCACTTGTGGTATTCAGTAAACATTGCCATTCACCTGAAAAATTGCTTGATTTCGAAATAAGGCAGTTAGTTCCAATGAAAATATTTGGATAATCAATTTAACCACTTTTTCCAATATTAACTTTCTACTAAGCCATTAATTAGAAACGATACAGTTCATAACTATAAAACTCGCAGAAAATAAATGACTTTTATACACGAAATATTTTGTATTCATTCTAGTACAAAAGTTTCAGTTATACATTTCAGTTACAAAAAAAACTGATTGGTATGCCACTTGAGTGGCATATTGGTTTCCACTTGAGTGGTATATTGATATGCCACTTGTGTGGTATTTGAATTTCTAGAGTTGCTCAACATACCAGCTAGATAACTACAAACGAATTGGTGGATTTAAAAGAGACGATCTCTTCAAGTGTGGGATAGAAATCAACGTTAGAAATGATCTTTGAATTGTTGACAAGTTATTCAATATGTCCTGACTCAGTTGTGGAATTATCGTGAGCAAACATTATTACATGGCAATCTTGTATTGACGAGTGGGTCATTGACATATAGGGAAGTAATTTTGAAGTTCGAAGCTCCATTGTCTAATATGATTCTAATAAGAAGGTTGCCTTTCATATTCCGGGATTAGAGAAAAAAACAACAAATATCAATCATCGAAAATTACTATTGTTTTTCAAAATATTCCCCATGAAGATCTATACACTTTTGCATGCGTCTGAACCAACTGTCGAAGCACTTTTGCTACTCTATTTGAGGTATCTCCAAAACATGCATTCTGAATGTAGCAACCACTGCAGAAATAACGATAGTATTATCATCTGAATATGATATGAGATGCCCTTTGAATTTTTATATTGAACCTAAGAAAAATATTTGGTCCTAGTACTGTTTCTTGGGGAAATACAAACGTTCAGGATATAAGAACATGGTCAATAAAATTAAATAAATCAATTTAAACTAAATTGAATCAAATCAATAAAATACCGTAGATATTACAGTTAGTCTTCTCAATTAAAATCATCATCATAGAATTCTGCTAAGCTATAATAAGGTCTCACAGTTACATCATTTATGAGTTTCCAGCTTTGAAAGTTCTATTGAAGGAGTTAGTGTCAATTTTATTTTTAGTTCATCTCTCTTTCGAATGGATGTTATTAGTCCTGATGTAATCCATGGTTTCATTCTATGACGTCTTATTTTACATGTTTGTTTATGGCAAGCCAATTCAGTGTAAAATTCTAGATTAGAAGTGAACCTGTCATAAGTTTCCTGGACATCTGAACACGTGATAATATCATCCCAGTTTTCGCTTTCAAGATATTTATTGAGTTCTACATACATAGTCGACTTTTCATTTATTGACCAATTAATAATGGTACTTGTAAGTATAGTTTCAGTGGTGAGGATATCGTTTATTCATTCAAAGTGATGAGATACTAAGTAAACATGTGAGTTCTCACAAAATAGAATGGCACTTGGGTCTTTTATATCCTCAACAGTTATCTTTTTTTGTTAATAATTGATATGCAAACATTCCAAATATCAAACAAGTCGATTTATTGGACCATTGACCTTAGAACTGGTTGGCCAAGGACTGCCTCCATTGAAAACAAGTGAATCATGCAAAATTCTTAAAACACTCTCATAGTCTACGGCAATGCAATAATGAATCACTCTTTTATTATCAAGTGAAAATGTCACCGACAGATAAAGAAGAATGCAAATATGAAGACCGTGCAGGTGACACTCGAGAAAATAATCATGCCCTCTGGGTTTAATTCGTGCCGCAAAAGTTTCTCCTCTATAAATTAAGTGAATACCCACCTGAATAGAGAAAGTAAGTACTGGAGAGCCGGAACGGCATCTAACGAAGGAGAGTCGAGTGGTACTGTTAGCAACAAAATGGGTCTTCCGTCTCTGTCGCGCCCACCTGGTAACACTGCTGTTCGTCCTTGTAGGCATGATACGTCATAGCCACATTCCATATCCTGCAAAAAGGAATGCGATAAGAATAACAGTTTGATTAATATATTAATGATATTAATTATGTGGATACTGTGTTTGAGATGAATGAAATTCTCTCAGAGTTGAGTAGAACCTCATATATTAAAAATGCATCACCCGAGTCAGAAAAAAGTTTACAAGTGGTACAAGCTTTCCACAGAAG